AGGGTAGCGTCTGCAGACACCTCGGACAGGTGCCTGCTGACCGGGGGGACAGGCACAGAACTCCTAGTGGAGCTGGACGTTGCTGATATTAAGGAGCTGGGTTGGGGAGACCCCATCTGGCTGCTGGGCCTTTGGGACGCCGCGGGGAAGGCATGAGGCTGAACACTGGGAACAGAAGGGTTCTTGCCACAGGGCTCCTGGGGGTAGAAGGGGGCAGTGGCCCTTCCTCTGAAAGATGCTTCCTTCAGCCTTTAATGAGTGTCAGATGCAGATTTCTGGGGAAAGGGCAGAAAACCAGAAGTGAAAGGCCAGAGGTCAAAACCACCCAGGGCTGAATGGCATGGACCAGTGCTCCCTTTCTGTGCCTGTGTGCTCAGGGTGGTGCTGGAGCCACACGGCGCGTTGGGGGAGGGCAGGGGTAATTTTCTCCAGGAAAAGCCCGGCCTTGTGAGAGCTCAGGAAATGGCCGGACAGCCCCGCACGGTCTCCCACAGCAGCTCTGCAGCCCAGAGGCAAGACTCTAGTTAGCACCACGGAGTCTTCCCCACCCCCTCCAAGTTTGCCAGGGGTTTCCTCAAATTCTGGGGGGGGGGGGGGGGGCTGTGTGTTAGTGCTGCCACCTGGTGGGCATTTTGAAGTCTATTTCCCAGGCTGTGAAAAGCGAGTCGGGTTGGGAGGAGTGGGGTTCTGCAAGGGGATTTAAATCCTTGGGGGGGATGCGAAATGAACCCAGAAAGGCTGCTGTTGGTTTGGTTTTCCTTCTCGGTGGTGGTTTGACCGTAGAGATGCGGGGCTTGACATGGACATGGAGACAAAAGCCAAAAAATACACTGAAAAGAGGCTTGGCAGAATTGGATTGCTGTCTTTTTATAATTCCAGTGCACAACCTGGATGTTTATTTTAAGCATTTTTATTCATTTTAAATGTCCAGAGTTGTGCAGAATTAAGGGGCGAGGGTGCAGGCCACAATGAGCGACAGTAAAACATCGAGAATCAAAAAGTTAAAGCTTTGTCACTATTCAAACACAAACTGTACCCAGCATGTCAGAATATGCAACGTAAATACATCTCTGTAAGGCAAACTCTGGCGTTCCCAGGCAGTGTTTTCTTATTTTGCCTCTTATTTTCTACATTTTGATTATCACTGGAAATATTTTTTTCGTGTGTGTGTGTGTGTGTGTGTGTGTGTGTTTACTGACCATCTCACCCTTCCAAGTCTAATTCAAAGGGAGGCTAAATGCAATGAACTCTCCATGCACTCTGTTTGGTCCTGAATGGATTCTGAAGTAGTCAGCTGTGTGTCTCAGCCCCTACGTCGCTAAGGCTGTGTCTAGACAATAAAGAAAAGTTGGAAAAAGATACACAAATTGTGAATCGCAATTTGCGTATCTTTTTCTCCTTCCCTCCCCCCCCC